GATGCCACTTACACTTACACACTGAACCTTTAAAAACTTCTTGACTCTCCTTTGGCAATGTATCCTGTAGTTGCAGATCAGACCTGGGCAACGGTCAAGAAGAAATTTGGACCATTCCTCTTTACAAAACTGTTTCAGTTCAGCAAAATTCTTGGGATGTCTCGTGTGAATCTCTCTCTTGAGGTCGTGCTACAGCAGCGGCGCCGCCAGAAACTTTGGGCCCCATGACAAAAAATCGAATTGGACCCCCTCTGCGCAGCTGTTGTCACCACATCTCTAGGACCTAACTGTCACATCAAAAGCTTTACATCACTCTAATTAAAGGCTTGCAACTGTCTTGTTTAAGCGGCTTAATTAAATTTAAATGAACGTATGAAACTGGATTATTTTAATACTGTCTGTAAATTACATGCAGGCTCACTGTTTCCAACTGTCCATCACCCAGTACAGACAGGAGGTTGTTTTTATTTTATTTCATAATGATTATTATGTGAGAAAAATAATTTGAACTTTTCATTTTCTTTTTGTTATGATAAAAAGAGCAAGAGAGACAGAGAAATCCCCACAGGCTCTTCTTCATTGGGACAGGGAGGCTACAGTTATGGGGAGACTGGGTTGCTACTGACTCATCTGTTGTTAGTCTGCTAAAAGGGACAGGGACAATGATTTAATATGAATTTCTTGCTAAACGTTTCCCTGCACTGATTAAATGTTGATGAAATGTAGGCTAACACTAGTCTTTAGCTAGCTAGCTTATTTCACTATGGACATTAAGCCAACAGGTTAACACCACTCACAGACTAAAGGCTACCCACCTTTCTTGGTGAAAAAATGAATTACAGTTTGACATCCTTTCCTTTGTCTTTCCTCTCTTTCCTTTCTCTCTTTCCTTCTTTGAAAACCAGATTTTGGTTTACTAGGTAATATTGTGTTCACTGTATTTCTACTGACTGCAACTAAACACCGTCACTGATGAATGTGCTAAGGCAGGACAAAACCATTTCACGCAGATACTTTGGTCGGTCAATATGGATGTTTACCTTTTGGTCAATAGGGATATTTAACTTCTATTCCCAAAAACAAAGAGATCATTAATTGTATTATTATATTTAAAATACTCAGTGATGATGTATGCAAACGATGTGGGCTTTGTAGATCATTGGCAGACTTTCTGGGGAAGACCTGGTCTGATCCGGAGAGACGGCATCCATCCCACTTGGGAAGGAGCAGGTGCCTTCAGGATGTTAAAACCTGGATGACCTGTAATTTTGTAATGTTAAATTCAGATAAAACTGAAGTTATTGCTCTGGGGCCTAAGCACCTCCGTGACGCATTATCTAAAGATATAGTTTCCCTGGATGGCATCGCCCTGGCCTCCAGCACCACTGTGAGGAATCTTGGAGTTATCTTTGATCAGGACATGTCGTTTAAGTCTCACATTAAGCAAATTTCAAGGACCGCCTTTTTTCACCTACGTAATATTGTGAAAATCAGGAACATCCTGTCTAAAAATGATGCAGAAAAACTAGTCCATGCATTTGTTACTTCTAGGCTGGATTACTGCAATTCCTTATTATCAGGCTGCTCGAAAAAGTCCGTTAAGACTCTTCAGCTGATCCAGAATGCTGCAGCACGTGTTCTGACAGGAACCAGGAAAAGAGATCACATTTCTCCTGTTTTAGCTTCTTTGCATTGGCTTCCAGTAAAATCCAGAATAGAATTTAAAATCATTCTTCTTACCTACAAAGCTCTTAATGGTCAGGCACCATCTTATCTTAAAGAGCTCATAGTACCTTACTACCCCACCAGAGCACTGCACTCCCAGAATGCAGGGTTACTTGTGGTTCCTAGAGTCTCCAAAAGTAGACTAGGAGCCAGAGCGTTCAGCTATCAAGCTCCTCTCCTGTGGAACCAGGTTCCAGTTTGGGTTCAGGAGGCAGACACCATCTCCACATTTAAGAGTAGGCTTAAGACTTTCCTCTTTGATAAAGCTTATAGTTAGGGCTGGCTCAGGTGAGTCCTGAACCATCCCTTAGTTATGCTGCTATAGGCCTAGACTGCCGGGAGATTTCCTATGATGCACTGAGCTCCTCTCTCCTCTACTTTCTCTCCCTCTGTATGCAACCTTATCCCATTATTGCATGTTACTAACACAACTTCTCCCCTTTCTGGTAGTCTTGTGCTTTCTCGTCCCTCTCCTCTCTCCTTCTGTCACTTCCTGCAGGTTTTCTGGCTCTGGAGCTGTGGAGTCTGGATCTGTGGCTGCGGGTCACCTGCTGCCCCCGACTGCTAACGACTATTGTTACTAGTCCTATTGTTATTATAATCATTAACATTACGACTGTTACCATTAACACTACTATAAATATCTGTACCATTTTTCATTTAGTCTATAGCAACATCACCTTTACTGTCTGTACCTCTGTGTGTATATTGTGTAGGCTGCCCCCTCTCTCTCTCTCTCTCTCTCTCTCTCTCTCTCTCTCTCTCTCTCACCCCCAACCGGTCAAGGCAGATGGCCGCCCACCCTGAGCCATGGTTCTGCTCGAGGTTTCTGCCTCTTAAAAGGAAGTTTTTCCTTGCCTCTGTCGCCTAGTGCTTGCTCTTGGTGGGAACTGTTGGGCTTCTGTAAATAGCATCATAGAGTACGGTCTAGACCTGCTCTTTTATGAAAAGCGCTGTGAGATAACTGTTGTTGTGATTTGGCACTATATAAATAAAATTGAATTGAATTGAATTGATGGTTTATATAAATATAATTTATTAATTAGTTTTTACCAATTTTTTGGGGGGCCCCTGTCAGTCGGGGGCCCTTGAAATGGTCCTAACTTTTCCCCTCTATAAGGCGCCCTGTGCCAACTCATCTGAATCGCATTGAGGTCATGACTCTGACTGGGCTACTCCAGCGCACATTTTCTTCTGTTGAAGCCATTCTGTTGTTGATTTACTTCTGTGTTTTGGGTTGTTGTTCTGTTGCATCATCCATCTTCTGTTGAGGTTCAATTTGTGGACAGATGGCCATACATTTTCCTGCAACATTGATAAAATATGGAATTCTATTTTCTGTTGATGATAGCAACCCTTCCAGGCCCTTAGGCAGTGAAGCAGCCCCAAACCATGATTCCCCCTCCACCATACTTCATAGTTAGGATGGGGTTTTAATGTTGGTGTTGCATTTTTTCTCTACATATAGGGTTGTGTGTTCCTTCCAAACAACTCTACTGTGGTTTCATCTGCCCACAGAATATTTTGCCAGTAGTGCTGTGGAACATCCAGGTGCTCTTTTGCAAACTTCAGATGTGCAGCAATGGGTTTTTTTGGACTCGCAGTGGTTTCCTCTATGTCCTCCTATGAACTCCATTCTTGTTTAGTGTTTTATGTATTGTAAAGTTATCCACAGAGATGTAAGCATGTTCAAGAGATTTTTGCAAGTCTTCAGCTGAACCTTCTTCTTAACCTCATTGAGCAGTCTGCACTGTGCTCATGCAGTCATCTTTGCAAGATGGCCACTCCTAGGGAGAGTAGTAGCAACAGTGCTGAAATTTCTCCATTCATAGACAGTTTTTCTTTCCCCGGACTAATGAACATCAAGGCTTTTAGAGATACTTTTGTAACCCTTTCCAGCTTCATGCAAGTCAACAATTTAATTAATTAATTGTCAAGAGCACTTTTGTTCGAGTCATGGTTCACATCAGGCAGTGCCTTGGTGTGTGTTTTTCATGGGGCAGGGCAGCTCTAACCAACACCTCCAATCTCTTTCATTGATTGGACTCCAGGTTGGCTGATTCCTGACTCTGATTAGCTTTTGGAGAAGTCATTGGCCTACGGGTTCATAGACATTTTTTTCACCCTGCACATTTACATGAAGTGTTCAATAAAAACATAAAAACATATAATTGTCTTAGTTTAAGCAGACTGTGGCTGTCTATTGTTGTGACTAAGATGAAGATCAGATCAAATTTTATGACCATTTTCCTGAGACTGTATATACGAATGTACGTATGGGTGTATGTATTTGTATATTTCTGTCGGTAAGATCTGGGCCTTGAGTGTGTGAGTTTGATTCCTTTTAATGCCACCCTCAAGACAAACTTTGCATGTTTAGTCCCACTACTAGCCTATAAGAGTAACAAAATTGTCATTAACTTGTTTGTTCGGTCCAACACTATTGCATTTGTGGAATCTAAACATTCCAGTTTCTAGGTGCCGCAAGCAGGGCTTTAGCCTTTTACTGCTAATAAAATCGCATCAGCCTGATATTTCTATCAAACAGTATCATGCAAGAAGAATAAAAGTAGCAATACTGTCTGTATGGTATTCTTCTAAATATAATTATATTTGTACAATATTTGAGTTTGCACAGTATGATCTGATTTGAGGAGGTAGGTTGTCAGCTACATTTTGTGACAACCCAACTCCACAGAATTTCCTTTGCCAATTTAAGTGATGACAAGTGATTAAGCCAGAATAAATGTTTAAAAGCTTTTTAATTGTTTTACTGGACCAATTCTGTTATTCTTTCAGCCGTCTGCCTGAAAGTCTGTACAAGTCTAACAAATTAATAATTACATTGTCAGGATAATAAAGGAGCGTTCACTGGGAAAAATTTAGCCAGGCATCACACATTAACTCAGATAATTAACCTCCCTTAGAGAGAGGGAAGCAGTCAAGATGAGTCAGACAGAAACAGGATGGGTAAAAGGGGATGGAAATGGGTATGAAGCACAAACATTAAGAGAGGAGGAAGCCAGATTCAAAAGTAGAGAAAAAAAATCAAATGGGAGAAGGAAATATGTGTGTGCCAGATTTTTTACTCAAGCCTATCTATATTGGTGTTAGCATGCGTGAGAGAGAAATGGCATGAAAGAGAAGAGAAATTACATTACTGACCTCCCATGGTGGTTTGCCAGTTTTATATGTTTAATTCATAATGAAACACAACATGAAGTAAGCTTGTTGATGTGTGTGTGTGTGCACACACATGTGTGTGTGTGTCTAACCCATCAAAGAGGATGTGGCCAGCTCGCCGATGTCATATTGGCTGGTTTTATCTGCCACACTGCCATTAGAGGGATTCTGGCCATCCTGCACAAGATGATGCAAAAGAAGAGGGAGAATACCACATCTTCATTGATATGTTGATGATATTGAATGATATTCTGTTTGCTGTGTGAACTAAGAAAATTGCTTAATTTTAGCTTGTCAGCACTGCATTTATGACATTTTCTATGGGTTGGGATAAAAAACGTACAGTATATGCCAAAGAGAGAGTTCTGAATCATACACATCACCGGGAGCAGAGTTATGAGTTTTACACACACACACACACACACACACACACACACACACACACACACACACACGAGTTTGCATACATCCTCCACTGGCAAACACATCCTATGTGTGATGACTTAATCCCCCAATATCTGTTCTTCACAGAGAAACGGTGATAATGACAGTTACAGCCAGCATTTGTTGAAATCCTGCTGAACTACATTTCGAAGGAAGGTATTTTTACCTCATTTAATATGGAAAGTGCACTTAAAAGAGTAAAATTTTCAAGCTTCTTGATGATATTACAAGCAAAATGGGAGTAAGTACATGCTTACATGGGCATGGTTCCACTTCGGAGATGTAAAGTCAATAAAATTCTACATAAAAGTCACTTGAATGTAAAAAGAGCAAAGTGGGAAAACTGAGTGATCTCTTGGACAAATGAATGCTGTTTCTGTTTTTCACATCACCGGACTGCTGCTTCATTGCCAGATATGTGGTCACTGCAAAACCAAAGAGATCTTTTAAACTCCTTGGCCCATTCATCAGACAAACTGCTCTTTTTACTAAATACATCAATCATTTTTTTTAATAAATGTTTTAAATTGTCATTTACCATTATTAAATCTGTAAATGACCCATTTAATCATCATAAGACACTGGCAGATTTAACTTTGTTTAAAGTTATAAAAATTCACTTCTATAGGAAAATAATAAGATAATAAAAAGGTTGGATGTAAATGCTATTCTCTCAGAGCTCATAAACTACATGTTTTTTTTAACATTTGAGAATTTGTAGAATAGTGGTGGCATAAATTTTAATAGATGTTGATATATAACGCACAAATACAGAGAATTCTTCTACTCATTACTCATCTTGGTAAAAAGCAGGAAAATTTCACTCCAGGAGCCCACGTGGAGAGTGTGATGCAGCCTGGCTGAGGAGCAGATTCAGCACGCGCAAGAGAGATATTAACTATAAAATCGAGCAAATCTTCCAGTCAACAGCCACATCTATCTTACTGTGCAATAAACATAGCCAGATAACTAGCTATACTGCAAGTTTAATCTGAGCTGTGCTGTTTGTGTTAAGAAAAGGCTTGATCATTTTAATGCAAGCTGGTAATGTGGACTATTGAAACCTCCATTAAACCTTCTGTTTATTTCACTCTTATTGAATCAGCAGTTAAAGGATCAGTTGAGCTACATTGCAGAAAAATATTCTGTCATACTTCTCTAACGGTATTAGTAATGCATATTGTTTTGGTTTTATTTACCAATATTTTGAGATATCTGATTTCTTCCCCAAGTCAGATACAATACAGATACTGCTCACAGTGTTGAAAAATGTTTTAAATTGTTTTAACAAGAAACAGCATCCCAATTACACAGGATATTAAAATGAAAATGAAATATAGAAAAAAAACACCAATCAAATAACAGAAGTTATCTCAGGGAACATTAACTGTTTTATAGGGACTATATTTTTCTTTGCTAGAAAAGAGTTCTTCTGAATGCTGTTGTCCTTCTGGTGACACAGTACCATAAAAGCCAAAAGATGTTACTTTCCATGTACATATAGGAAGCAAACACACACACAAATGGAAGTGAGGGCTTTTATTCACCTTGACAGAGGATGGCTGACCCTCCTCAGACTGGTCCTGCAGTGCTGTAATGGGGTGGTGGAGCTCTGTGGGGAATCACACAGTTAGATTTTTGATTCATGCTCTATCTGGTGTTTTTTGTGTGTTTCGAGGCAGGGGTCATGGTCTTTAAAGCCAAAACCCAGTTGCTTCGAATGGCCAGGGGTTAAGTGAGGCTCATATGTAATGAATGAGAAACAGAGGGAGAGAGTTGAATCCTCATACAGTCATTTAACCAGAGGCACTCTGCATGTTTAACTCTAACCACACTCTGCATATTTGCCTAATAATTGATGGTGAGGAGGTTCAAATGAATGACAAGAGGAAATGAATGACAGCTCAGAGAGATAGAGAATTAACATCCTACGAAAGGTCAGTGGACACACACACACACACACACACACACACACACACACAAAGACACACTTGGGATTTCCCCTGGGAGATGTTGTCAAGACAATTGGCTGTCGTTATGGAAACACTACAGCAACAGGAGGAGACTGAGACCCTTCCATTTACTTAAGTCACGGTCGCCAGCATACTCGCAGTATCTGGTCCCTGGCCTCATCAAATGCTATTAGCAGGGAACCTATCATGATTCCTGAACCAATCCAGAGTCCTTGTGGGGTTAAATCCCAGCCTGACTCACTCTCTCTCTCTCTCTCACACACACACACAAACTCTTCTTTTAGATGTATGTCTGGAGCCTCACAGCTGCCTTCCCTCTTTCTTCCCAGCTGGATAACGCTGCACTCTCTACACCGCCACCTTGTTAAAAGGGACTCTTCCTGAACAAAAGTAGACTCACAAAACATTGTCAGACTGCAGATCCACGCTTGAAAATAATGTGTGAGAATGTTAAGTGATGTTAAATGTCATAGGGACAAAATAACAAGTAGATTGCTGTTTGGAAGTATCACAGGAAGCTGGTACTCCTCAAATCAGCATTTTGTTTTAGTAGACTTTTTGTTTTGACAGCACAAATTAGTACTTCTTCCTAAAAGAGGCCCTGCTGCCAGCTAAGGCATTGTTATTTTATCCAGATAGCCTGATGATGAGCTTCGGAAAGGTTTGTCATATCCTGAAGCCATTGTTGTCCTCCGCTTATCCTCACAAACCCTCCCATCAACCTCTTGCCCCCAAGTCTTGTTTCTAATGCAATTTCCACAGATTCACTCAAAGAAGAGCTGTGAAAGAGCAGATCATAAGAAGTTTTTGGATGAATGCTTTCATGACAGAATCTGTGCCATTGTTCCTGTAATGGTTTCACCCTCTACATCTGCTGTGAACAACTCTTTTCTTTAAATTACTTAGCCTTTCTATTTTCTCTCACACACAGCCCCAAAAGATGAATGATGTAACTTTCTGAGTTCTGCTCGTCAAATGTTTGTTAGCTGCTGTCAACACTATCTACAGGTTGATCCAACCCTCAAACAGACAGACAAACAGGTGGCACTGACCTTTGTGACCTTTGCAGAGGCAGGCACCCATGGTCTCAGCACGGCTGGGTGTTTTATCTGTTCACCATGGTGGCTCAAGGATGAGGAGGATGAGGAGCAGGTGAAAGAGAGGAAGAAAGGGAAGAAAAAGAGGCAGCAGTAGTAGCAGAAGTATCAGTCAGCGGAGGAGCAGAGAGCAGTGAGGAACTGAGGCAGGGGGAAAGTGAGAGCGGATGCCAGATGAGCTGCACACTGATGCACTGGCTGACTTTTCTGGATGAGGAGCGAGAGAGTGAGGACAGAGAGAGAGATAGGAAAAATAGGGAGAAAGGATGAATGTCTGACGATTTTGTATCCCCTCCCCTCTATTTCTTCTATTCTCCTCCCACTCTTTTCTTCCTCTCCATCCTACTGTGTATATTCTCACTGTGAATGGAGGGCTTGATGATGGAGCTATGTTGTTGTGAATATTTTTTTCAGTACTCTTGCCAACACGATATACCAAAATTATTGTTTTTAATTTAATAAAAAAATATATAATTTTTAATTATTTTTCTAAAAAATAATATCTAATCAAATCTAATCATTTTATTAAAAATGGCATTTTGTGGCAAATTTTGGTCAATCCATGCAAACAAACCAAGGCTTTATTTTATGGTTATGTCTACTGCTACTACTCATATAGCTACAGTGTGTGATTAGGGACTATTAGTTTATATTCAGTAAATATTATAGTATGGTTGTAGTTTTTAGGTCAGTCTCTGTACTTTACTTTATGCGATGCTATATATGTCCATCTAGCTAGCTTGCTAGGGTTTAGTATGCTTTGAAATTTTTCAAGACATACTTTTGGTATTGAGATCAAAAGCAACTTGCTTCAATGCCTCACCTGAAATAATATATAAATGTTTCCCTCAAAATCAATATATAATCAATTTTGTAATAAATGTTTTTAAAAAAGTAAGAATCTTACCTGGTATTCTTTGGCAACTTTTGGTACATGACAGCTTTAGTTACTCGACGCTACAAAAACATACATTTTGTCATCTACCCAGTCATCTATACCATGATATATAATCTAATCACACACTCACAGTGAAACGTCACAGATATATGGACTTGGTAACACACACCTTTATTCACAGCAAACAGGGTCTCCTGTGACCTCATTAGTGCTGTGTCACACACACACACACACACACACACGGTTGTGTTTCCATCACTTCATAGGACATTACATTGACTGGCATTAATTTCCTGTAGATTTATTCTACCCCTAAACCGAACCTAGGCCTATCCTCACCCTAACCTTAAACCAAGTCTTCACCCTATAACGTAATTATTTACATCATAGGTATTTGCATTTTTTTTCCCCCAGAAAGGCAAGTCCCCACAATGTGACTGCGTAAACAGATTTATGTCCCCACTACATCAGTAATACAACACACACACACACACACACACACACACTACCCTATAATGAAACAATCAGACACAATGTTCCTTCCATGGCCCTTGTTGGTGTCCCTGTTTGTCTCAGATGGTGCAAATGCTGGGATAATGTAACTAGGGCTTGCTTACATCACCTGCAGCAACAGCGCCTTTTCCTCCATCGCGGGGGGAAAGCTTGTTGCCATGGCAACCAAGCCGCTCCATGCAACAATACATTGAGAGATTTTTGTTGACTGATATGCCTGAGCTTAAACTTGTATTAGCATGAAACCAGCAAGGACCTGGAATGCCTCTCCAGAGGTCATTAACATAGTTGCAGGCTGCTTTCAGTGGATTCTAGAGGTCTGTGGGTTTCTGGAGGTGGTTCCTTGAGGGTTTTGTCAGAAGTCCCTTGAGGGCAGGCTGATAATATTTTGAATTTTGAATCCTGAAAAGCCTCAATGAACCATAAAACCTCACCAGGATATTGTGGAACAAGTGACCCTGGAACCACTTTTAGGACCTGTGGAACATCCTCTGGGCCTGCATGAAGATGAAGAACACACTTTTAAGAAGCTAAAGAAACAAACATGGAAGAGCCCAAGAAACCTTGTTACCCCTTCACGCAACTGTGAAATCCCTCTGGAATATTCTTAATTGTATTTGGAACCTTTTGAAAGACTCTTTTAGGTCGTTGCGCCGCATATTGAGATTCACTTCTCATTGTGACAGGGCTGGAAGGAGCAGTCTGACCTCTTGTGGTAAAAAGACAAATGTGCAGTGCACATGCAGCATCAAATGCAGTGTATCTTGGAAAGCAACATTACAACTTTCACATATGTTCTGCTTCAGAGTATTTTCTGTTATCATTTATCCAATCAGGGCTCATGGTCAAAGCAGGAAGATCTGTGAGATTACAGAGAAAATGCAGAGGAAAGGTGTTCCATAAATAATTCAGTTCAGCAGGACAATGTCTAGCCTAATCCCCCAAGGGTCGGTTCCTGCTTCTCACTTGTCGGTCCCGGCTGCTGTGCAAACCTTTTTGTCCCTGCGTGCAACTCTTAAATCTGCTCTTCATAAAGTTTTTCTTATGTTCCTTATGTGTGACTCTTGGGTAAATCTCTACTCTGTTCAGATCATTCATCAAAAACAATAAATCTTGAATTTGATTAGATGAGAATGTGGGGTTTTGCCTTGTATTTGAAGAGAGCGAAGGGAGCAGAAGGAATGTTTATCGTCTACGAACACACATACACTGTGATGCTCCTCACTGGGAAGCCACAGACATTCAGCAACAGTCATTTCTGTGGTCCATCAAGGCAAAGTGGTAGTTGGTGTTGTTTCAGTACTGGATGATTCTCAAACACTGACATTTCTGTGCACATCATACATGAAACAGCATTTTTATTTAATACTGTCAAGTTATGATGGAATGCAAGAGTAATTACTTTGATTATAATTGCAAAAGAGTAATGATTCAGCTTCTGGGTAAATTTAACCTTATTTTACAGTGCATGTCAATGTGGGAATTTCTCACTCTGATATAAGTAAAATATGATGGCTGTATATTTTAAACCTTTCCCAAGGTCAAGCTGACAGACCACCATGCTTTTTATAGGCCACCCCTGCTTCACATTCACTCAGTTCTGCATTTCACACTTAAAACACGTTTTTTCCATGGGAGTGTTTTGACTATAAAATCCTGTCTCACAGCGAGAGATATTATAATGTTTCAAAAGATCTATAGGAGCTATTTCAGTTGTGTTACAATATACAATTTCTTTAACAGATTTTAAACAAGCTAGTAAAGTCTTCTTCATATTTTCTGGGTGAATTTAAGTCCACTACCTGAAGGCAAAAAGAGTCTCAATGCTGACATGCAAGCACCTTTGTATTTGTGTGTTTTTCTCAGAACCTTTTTTAAAGAACACTCTCATGTCTCTCTTTTTAGTACAGAGCAAAAGTAGGGAGGCAATTAGCCTAGCTTAACATAAAGACTGGCAGAACAACTATTTCTGTTCAGTTTATCCATCTGCCCAGTACTTTCTTTTTATGAATAGATTAAGCAAACAAGATGCAATGTGTTTATTAGTAAGCTCTGATGTAGGTGCATTTTAAATTGTGGAGAAATTAATGCTATTGCTGTTTCCCCATAATTTGAGCTGCCCCGTTCCTGTTTACCTGCAGATTCTCGACTACTTCTGTTTGGACCTGCCTTTGTGTGCCTTTGAAATTGTGTGAATATTTTGTTTCCATTAAAATCAATGAACTGTTCAAGCCTATCAGGGTCTCTGCATTTGGGTCCTCTTGCATGCTGCCTTATACACACCCCTTACAATATTTCCTACAAGTTGCACCTCTAAAAATTGAGGATAAAAGTTCCTCAATTCCTCCTTTCTTAATTTTTCTTTGGAGGTTCCAACAAAAAAGCTCATACCATTAATTATATGGTCAGGGTTGGAGCCCTGATCGTATCTTCAACCTGCAGTATTTGATATGTTTTTCTTTGTTGATGTATTCTGGAGCAATTACAAGATCTACATTTCACTTTTACATGTCATTCATAAGTAAGCAGAGAAAACTTGCATGAAGCTCCTTATTCCTTGTTGGCTTTCACTTTTGCTTTCTTTGCAGAGTTCACATGCCAAGCACAACATGAAGAATGCTGGGAAATATCTCGCTCAAAAAACGGAGGACACTTTGTTGTCCAACATGACTAACCATATGAGACTTTCTGAGGAAGTGTGAGTTTCTGTGGCTTGCCTGCACATGTGCACGGTGACTGGAAGTCTCTGTTCCTTTTGTCACAATAATCATAGTTGTATGTATTTTGTGTTACAGCCTCATTCTGCCAGAACTCCCACTGTGTCAGGCTCAATGAAACCATAATATTAGCTCTAGAATCACATGATAGACTGAGCATGTTGAAAAGCACTGTCTGCAGATTGACCAGTCTTCCCTCCCTTTCCTGTCACTTCTGTCCTATTTTTCTCATTTTCTGTGTTTTGCCACAGAAGCACCAAAATAGCTTTGCATATTTTGATGACCAATGTAAATGGCTGCATTGGCTCTAAAAAGAAAAGGGTTATGAAAACGGGCAGGACTTTTGCTGGCTAATGACTGTGGTTACTTGGCCTGCAGCAAAGTTGGCAAGGTCTCTCAAGGTTTCACCAACAGGAAACTGCATTAATCCAGAGCTGGGCTGAAGTAATTCACTCCCTTCTTTATTCAAAGCTTTGCCAGAGTTTCAGCAGACCACCTCGGCCGTCCGGGTAGAGAAGAACAGGAGTGGGAGGCCTCGGGGCCTGACTGAAACCTCCCCTCCATGTGCTCCTTAATTGGTTTAATGACAGTAATTATCTGCTGGGGTGCATGTTGTGCTGGGGACGATTAATGGCCTCCAAAACACATGCAGACAGGCGGAAATTAAGAGAGGGGGGCACTGAGACAAAGAATAGCCCTGCAGAAAAAAGTTGCAGAGAGAGACAGATTCTGCTGGTGAGAGAAATAGAATAATAACACAGCGTTTAACATGTTTTTTTTCTTCTTCTTTATGGGAATTTTGTTGCTGTTAATGTAAAATGTTGTGTTAACTTCTGGAAGTTGGTTCCTATTTTGATTGAATAAAACCCCATTTAATTAGATGTCATCTGTGGCATAAACAGGACATGCCACCCTTGCAGTGAAAAGGTAAAAGAGAAATTTACGATGCTCCAGAAAACATCCATGTACAAGCAGCCACCACAGTGTCTGAAGGCTGAATGACTTCAGTTGCAGTACCACTACTGTCCTGTAGATG